TCGGAAGCAAGACGGAGTAAATTAATAGCTGTAAGGCCACGATGCTTAGCTGGATGGGTAAGAGGGGTTTGCCACATGGGGCGCGCCGTCTTTTGGGATACCACGTCAGCCGCAAAGATGTGAGCCTCGTCATTTACAGTCGTGACGCCTTGGCTGCCCCTCTTAGGCTTATGTGTGAGATGATTTGTGAGATCAAGGCCAAAACCTTTCGGCCAGATGTCACTCGCAGCGGCATGCTTTCTGAGGCACCCCCGTCAAAGGAGCTTCCTGCTGAGGTCCCTGAGACTTTGGAGCCCGTGCATTCTGATTCCAGTGAAGGGTCTGCCGATGAGGAGGACGATGAGGCCACTGATGAGGAGAAGGCCGTGGCGGATGTGGCAGGCCCTTGGGGACCCCAGATGGCTGAGGACGGAGCTTGTCGCTTCGCAAGACATAGGGTGTCTAGGTGCATCCATAGGGTGATGGACGAGAGCGGTGCTAAGCTTAAATGTGGCAGAAACATCACTACCAACATGGAGCTCTTGGAAGAGAAGCCCACCTTCCTGTTCCCGGTGTGCACCACTTGCTTTAATGATTTGTGACCCGCTCAGTGGTCGCGCGGCTCTCAGCCGGAGTTTTGCGCAGGAGACTTTCGTCTTGACTGCAACGGTGTGATGGAAAAAGAAGGGAGCTGGCAGTGGGCTTACCCTAAACCTCAGCTTGGATGTTATTCGAAGGGCAAATGTGCGCCTCTGAATGTGATGCCAGATGACACAAATTTGTTTGGTCGATGTGGACCACGCCAAATGTGGGCCTCTGAATGTTGTACCAACCATGTGTGCCAGTCTGGATTGCCGCTGTGGGCAACGGCTGAGTGTGAGCCTCTACTTGGATGTCTCGGCAATGTGGCCAAGCAACTTGATCGATGTGGATCAGCGGCTTGATGTGGGCCTGCGCTGTAGCCCGATGTGCATGTGGCCGAGTAGACTTAATGAGAATTGTTCTTGATGTGAGCTTAAAATTTGCGAGTGCTTCGACTCAGTGTGACATGAACGAGCCACATGTGCTGCTAGCTGACCGCTTAGATGTCGTTGTCGTTGAAGCGGTAGCTGTTGAGCCAGGGCATGTGACGATGTGTTGCATTCGACAACTGCCGCTTATGGAGGAGATTTTCTGTTCAAGATGTCCGTAGCCGACAGCGAAGCGGTTTTCAAAGCCCGGGCAACGGCCTGCGGCTTGGCTGATGGAGATTTTGCGAAGCTTAAGGCCGAAGGGCTCGAGACCGTGGGTATGTTTGCCTTTTCTTGCAATTTTGCACCGGGGGCGGCCAGCGAGGCCCCCTTCGTCGAACTTGTTGAGAAGGTCTTGGGAACTCCCCCGACGGTGAAACAGCTCGCATCTTTCCGGCGACTGTTCGCGGAAAGTTATTCCGCCGTTGCCTCCGACATCAAGACTCAGATCGAAACCACTGACGAGTCTGTGCCACGAAAACTGCCTGCCGCTGATCGGGCCCAACGCCTGAAAGAGCAACAGTCCCGTATTTCGGGCTTTAAGATCCGCGGACCCTATGAACCAGGTGATTCGTTGGTTGACCGCTCGGTGCAGATGCTTGAGCAGGACCGGTTGTCCTACTTGGATTGGGGCACTTGCGTAAGTCGCGAACATGAATTGACCACAAACACGAGGAAAGATAGCTCCCTTACCTTCGACAACAACGGCCTTTTGCGCATGGCTAAGCGAGACAAAATCACCCCATGCGATTCTTCAAGCGAACTTCAGGTGAGGTACTGCCTTATGCGCCGGGGCTTGGCATTGGACCAAGCGGGCATCTTGACTTACGAGCTCCACGAATCCCTCATTGAAAAACTCTTTCAGGCACGGCTCACGGTTCCGCCCCCGAATTACTCGAGGGTGCAGATGGCCCAGTTGGAGCATGCGGATCGCAAGTTCTTCGCCCTTCTTGGTGAGCACACGCGGGCCGGCATTAAAGCGTCCGCTGCAGGACGCCCATGTGACCTTGCTTTCAAGCTTTGCCTGGAGTGTACGGATTTCCTTACATTGCTGCAACCGCGCCCCTTTGCCGTCCAGAATTATGACCCTCCCAGGAAGTGGCGCAAGTTTGATGATAACAAAGGGGGCGGCAAGGGCAAGGATAAAGGTGGCAAAGATGGAGGCAAGGGCAAGGATAAGGGCCGCCAGGGTTCCAGTGATTTCGCGAGGGTGCCTCAGGCCCTTTTGGTTCTTGGTTGCATTGGCATGCACCCTCAATCGAAGCAGCGCTTCTGTTACAACTTCAACTTGAAGACGTGTCAGGATGGTGCGAATTGCACTCGCGGTGCACACATGTGTGCAGTGAAGGGCTGCCATCAAGCTCATGCGGCCATGGATTGCCCCCGCAAAAAGACCTCGTGACTATCCCCAGTGCATGAGCCGCAGACAGGTGAGCAGCTGCGGCCACAGGATCCTGAGGGTCTTGCTCACGCATGGATCCGAGAGCGCAATTTTTGCGCCGCCAACATTTTGCAGTTACTTGAATTTTTGCTTCATGAGACCCCTCCCCGCCTAGGGGTGGAGAGTGGTTCTTATGGTTTTAGCACGGGTTGCTACTCCCAGGGCTCCCTTAGCGGGCTTCGTCGCGCCGTGCGCCTTTTTCCGCATGTCAGTGAATATCTGTGTCGATGCGTGCGTGCCATTGATGAGTCGCACCAGTTTACTACTGTTTCCATATTTGCCAACCTGCAGCCGACGGTGGTAACGCCGATGTCCCAAACCTTATAGCTCCCTTGAGCTCTTTCTCTGGAGGAGAGTTGTTCGTGAAGCAGGCCGGGGGTGATACACGCCAAACATACAATGGTGTTGCTATGGAGGGTTTCTTGCTTGATTGTGCCGCCAAACCCTGGAAATTCGATGCCAAGAATTGCCAGCACTTCACTCTGCCCTGGGAAGGTACCCGCGTTGTTCTTGTGGCATTCTCTGTAGGTTTGCACCAGACATTTTCCCCCGCGGACGCATCCCGGGCCAAGGCTTTGGGCTTTAAGCTCCCGAACTCCCCACAGCCTAGCCCGAAACCCTCGTGTGCCGGTCTCCGTGATATCAGGGCCCAGCTGTTGCCCCCTCAGTGTTCTGAGCCCTCCCCTAAGGCCCCTAAGATTGCTCCGCCCCCGCTTGATTCCCTCAATCTTCAGGCTGCATTTCACCTGCCCGCGGAGGGCCCTCTGTTCATTGAGCTGTGTGCGGGCTCTGCCCAGCTTAGTGCGTCTGCTGCTCAGCGAGGCTTTACGCCATTGGCCGTTGATTGCGCTGCTAACCGCCACCAGCCCAAATGCAGATTGCAATTGTTGGACCTCAGCTCTGAGGCCTCTTGACATACTTTGCAGCACGTCGTAGCAATGCATGCGGCACGCGTGGCTCATGTACACATCTCCCCTCCCTGTGGCACCTGCAGTCGTGCTCGGGGCGTGCCGCTTCCCGATGGGTCCCCTGGGCCCCCTGCTCTGCGTGATGCCCAGCATGTTTGGGGCCTGCCGGGCTTGCCCAGTTCACAGCAACAGCGTGTGGACAAGGCCAACGCTCTGTATCGCCACATGTGCTCGTTCTTGTCTTTTCTGCAAGCCCAGCAGGTGCCCTGGACCGTTGAAAACCCCACGCGGTCGTGGCTCTGGAAACTTCCCGCTCTGACATCTCTGCTTCAGTCACATCATTTCTTTGAGCTGCATACTTGTGCTTTCGGCAGCCAGCGTCAAAAGCGGACCGCCTTCCTGGCCTCACATTCTGAGTTCCAATTGTTGGCACGTACCTGCCCGGGCTGCCCTTCTCACCTTCCTTGGGGCATCACTCCCGAGGGTGACTTTGCCACCGGCCGCGAGGCAGCTTTCCCTAAGGCCCTGTGTGAGACCATTTGTGATGCAGTTGAACTTCTCTGCGCTTCCCGAGGCTGCCTTCCAGGCTCCCCGAAGACATTGGTGGCCCGCGCGCAGAAGCAGCCCCGCGGCCGCGCCACCCCGCAGCTCATTCCTGAGTTCCTTCGCATCGAAAGCACTATCCTGCCGGACGTGCCTGCCACGGATTCTAAGAAGTGCATTTCCCATGCGGTGGCGGGCGTGCCAGCGGGCAGCAAATTGCTACGTTGTGCAGACAGGGGCTCCAAAGGTTGGTTGTGTGTTCTAGGGGTCTATAGATCCCCCTTAGCCTTCGCTACCCTGGCTAAGCAACTTCTCCACCCTTACGACACCCTTGTACAACTTCCCGACTGTTTGCTGAGGGTCATCTTCAAGCAGCTCACGTTGTCTCCACAATGAATTGTCTGCCGAGCGTCTTAAGAAACTTCAGACCTGGAGGTCGTGGGCAACAGAGCTGCGTGACCAGGAGAAGGCATTGAAGGCCAGCTTGCATCCCGATGTAGCTGATATCCTTGCACCAAAAAGAATTTGCCTTATGAAACGGGTGGCTCAGGAGATGTCCTGGCCCGATATGGGTATCTTCGATGAATTAACTAAAGGCTTCCGCCTCGTGGGTATTGGGTCCAAGTCTGGGCTCTTCCGCCAAGGGGTCAAACTGGCCTCACTGTCCGAGGACGGTCTGATGGAAGCGGCCAAACACCTTCGTCCCCGCTTGCTTGATAAGGTCATGTGCGAGCGTCAGGATGAAAACTCCGATGAGCTCAGGGCCCTCACTTCTAAGGAGGCCAAGGAGAAGAAATGGCTGCATGGGCCCTTCACTCCTGATGAGATTTCCCATCGCTTTGGGAATTGGCTGCCTGCCAGGCGATTCGCCATCCGCCAAGGCGACAAGGTGCGTTGCATTGATGATCTGCGGGAGAACGAGCTAAACACCGCCTACACGGCGGTGGAGAAGATCACTCTGTCCGCGATGGATCACATGATATGGGCACTGCAAACCCTGCTCAGATATTTCACCCACCGGGGCGAGGTGTCTCTTGAACTTTCGACAGGTGAGGTGCTCAAAGGCAAGGTCCATGAGGCTTGGTCGTTGCATGAAGGATCCCTCGTCGTGACAGCGCTTGATCTCCGCAGCGCCTACAAACAACTTCCCCTCAGCCCTCTTGACCAGGACAAAACGGTAGTGGTGCTCAAAGATCATGTGAGGAACGCTGTGGATTGCTACGTCATGAAGACGCTCCCCTTCGGAGCTTCTGCCAGTGTGGACAAGTTCTTGAGGGTAAGTGCTTTCCTACAGGCTGCCGGCTGCGAGCTGGCGTTACTCTGGAGCAACTACTTTGATGATTTCCCTCTTGCATCCCACCGCCTCACTTCGGTGTCCAGCTTGTCTGCAGCAAAGGCGATGTTAACTCTTTTCGGGTTTGAATTTGCCACCGACAAACTCCTTCCTTTTGACCAGACGTGTGAGGTGTTGGGAGTGAAGCTTGATTTGACTCTTGCGCACGAGGGCGAAATCCGCATCACCAACAAGCCATCCCGTATTGAGGAAGTGCGGGGTTTGCTTGAGTCAGCGGTGGCATTAAAGGCTCTGGTTCCTGCAAAGGTGCCTAGCTTCATTGGCAAACTCCAGTATGCCGACTCACAAGTGTGGGGGCGAGCGGGGCGAATTGCCCTTGGGGATCTTCGATCACTTGGAGGCTCAGGCAGACATGCTGTCAACCTGGACGGCTCTCAGCTGGCAGCTCTGCAGGTGTTGAAGGCGCGCTTCGAGCTCGGCCACCCGCTTTCAATCAAGGCATCGACCCCGGTGCCCCCTGTGGTGATCTTCACTGATGGCGCCCTCGAGGAGGGCAAGGCTACCATAGGAGGTGTGCTCTACCCTTCTTGTAGGCAGATGCCGGCCGAGGTGTTCGGAGCGACTCTGCCATGCAATGTGCTTGATTTACTCAAAGGTGATAAGGAGCATGTCATCGGAGCTGTCGAGCTGTTTGCTGTAGCCGTAGCCATAAAACTTTGGATGCCCCGCCTAACCGGCCAAAGGGTTCTTATCTTCGTTGATAATTGGCCTGCCTTGGACACTCTGGTCCGCGGCACTGCAGGCGTCCAAGAGTGGCGACAGGTTTTGCTTGCCATAGAGGGCGCTGAAGGTGGACAGCCCCCTCTGTATTGGTTCGCGCGCGTCCCTTCGGGGTCAAACGTCGCTGATGATCCCAGCCGCGGCTCACTTAGGTCTATGGCCAATGACGACTACATCATTGCAAAGCCGGTATGCCCGTTGACTGGAGGGGAGCTTCCATCCTTCTTCAGTGTGCCAGCTTAAGCGGACAGGGGAGCCAGATGTGTGGCATCGCAAAGTGGCGGATCTCAATGCTGAGATTATGGTTGGCAGATGTGTGCGACAAGTCGATGTTATGTGTCACTACGAATTCAATGATCAATCCCCTGTTCGCCCATGCGAGAAATAAAAGCTGCTGCTTGAGCGCTGACTTCTAGCTGAGTTTCGCCTGATTGATGGGAATGTTTTGAGAGACATAAATATGAATTCATATGAGCCTCCCGGTACTTCACTAGAAGGTCTCATTTTGTTCTCGAGATATGTTGACTTGAGGTTTACGTGGAAACGATAAAATAAAGATCACAACTTTTACTATGAAGTTTCATTGATGCTTTGAGGTTCACGTGACAACGATAAGATAGCCGGTAGCGAGCT